CTGGTAGACGATTGCCATAAATGAACATGCCAAGTCTTTTGTCAAACGCAGTTTTATTATAAGCGGCTGTCGGACAGCATTGCAGGAGGTATCTATTTTATTATTTCTGGGCTGGTGAAACCAATAGTTAACAATAGTTTACATAAATTTTCAATAGTTTACAATAATTTACATAAATTTACAATAGTTTACATAAAGTTACAATAGTTTACATTAATTTACAATAGTTTACAATAGTTAAGCGGTCTGAAATGTCTTAAGTAACTGCGTCTAGCTGAGAATAAAAACAATGTTAATTATTATCTCATATATACTCTTCTAAAATGAAACGCAAAGCCAGATTTGTGTGAGGAAGGAAAACACATTTATGCCAGGAGCCGTACAAGGGTTGAGCCAAAATGTTGTGGAGAGAACACTTGGTGATTGAAGTCATCTCAGTGATCGGTACATAGGAAAAGTCGGGCTTGACATCTCCTGCCCATGGAAGAGACGAGTATGCGCAACAAATCCTGGGGAATGGCAACGTAAAAGCCAGCTGCAGCAATGTTTGGGGTGGTGGTTGACTTCATCCGTCTATCCAATTCATCCAACATGTGCTCTATCGGGTTCAAATCCGGGGATCTGGAGGGCCAGGGGAGAACATCAACGTTGTTGTGTAGACAGGCTCTTGTGATCCGTGTTGTATGTGGTCGAGCGTTGTCCTGCTGGAATGCACCGTTGCCGTTGTCTGCAATTGGGAGGACGTGTGGTAGGAGAATTTCGTTGATGTATCGTTGAGCCGTAAGATTGCCCTGGATATGGCCCACACCTGTCCTGCCATGAAGAGAGATAGGCGCCCACATCATAACGCTACCCCCACCAAACCTGTCCACTTCCTGTACGCGGTTTCCGGCGTAACGTTCTCCCCGACATCTTAAGCATTATTGTGGTAACATTATGTTCATTTCACATTGATCATTTCATATTCAATATATAATCGTTTTGAAGCGTCAAAAAGGATATTTGAGGTACACCCTGTTCTCTGTTTATAGAGCTACCACATACACCCTGTTCTCTGTTATAGAGCTACCACATACACCCTGGTCTCTGTTGAAGAGCTACTACATACACCCTGTTCTCTGTTATAGAGCTACCATATACACCCTGTTCTCTGTTATTGAGCTACCACATACATCCTGTTCTCTGACACTGATGTGATTACTGAACATATAATCATTTATTTCTAGATTTACAGTATCTCGAGCACTAACGTAGCTCATTGAGCAGGGAACAATGAATAACTGAATACAGATGGCTGTTGGCTGTTTCTGCGGCTGAATCTATCGCTGAGACGTGTTGAATCAATCACCGTTGCACAGATTGATGTAACTAAAAAATGTAAATCTCCTATGCGCTGATTTTGACTTATTGTCATAACATTCAGACAAATGTATCGGATGTCATTAGATAAGAGAAGCGTGATTTTACACACAGTATCTATCACCTGTAGGGATTCACATCCGAATAGGGTGGAACAGATGCTCATGCAGTCAGCCATTGGCTTGCCTACGAAAACGTATTTGTGCATTCACTCACACACTCACTCACACACTCACTCACCCACTCACTCACTCACACACTCACTCACACACTCACTCACACACTCACTCACACACTCACTCACTCACACACTCACTCACACACTCACTCACACACTCACTCACACACTCACTCACACACTCACTCACACACTCATTCACCCACTCACTCACACACTCACCCACACACTCACTCACACACTCACTCACACACTCACTCACCCACTCACTCACACACTCACTCACCCACTCACTCACCCACTCACTCACTCACACACTCACTCACACACTCACTCACACACTCACTCACACACTCACTCACCCACTCACTCACACACTCACTCACCCACTCACTCACCCACTCACTCACTCACACACTCACTCACACACTCACTCACACACTCACTCACTTCACTCACCGCACGCGCATTGACCTTGATGAGTATCTCTTCATTAAGGAGGCGATGCCATGGAAACTATTTTTAAGAATTAATTCCATCAGTGAGTGACTACTAAACCAAATATATTGCATACAATGTGATTACATATTCAGGTGGGCTACAGTGATGTTTCACTATTTTTCACTTTTCCCGTGAATACATAATTTCACGCTGGCCTTTCTTGAATTCAAATAAGGATCGTACGTGGCCGAGTGGTCATAAGTGCGGCAACTTGTTGTCTCCCCTTTGTTTGCAGGATCAGCTCATTGTGGCTGAAGACACCCTGGCTATGTTCATGCTGTCAGCACCAGATCAGGGCTTGTCGACTTTACAAGTCATAAATGTCTACAATGGTGTTATTGTCCTCTCACGTAAAAAAAACTAAACTATTCATGATACGACCCCCGTGATGATCCGGGGCAACTAACCAAATCATACTCGCTGACTTCGTCGATACATTCACCAATGCAATCGTTACCCAATTGCGTAGATCGATGCTTGTGATGTCAATCACCGGATTGTCTTGTCCATACTCGATTATTTACGAACATATTTTTTTAACGGTTTTCTTTGCATATAAGCAGCAGATTCTCTGCACTTGCAGACAGCAGATGTAATTCAGAATCAACAAATCGCCTCAGTTTCAACAAAATCAGTAAATGTTCTGTTGTGTTACTGGATTTTCCGCCTATATCACGAGCATGTGTTTATAAATCACTATCAAATAATGATGAAACCATATGTTCGCGAAAAGGTGAGTGTATCCTGCCCTACCGGTGGTATTCGTCACAAACACATGCAATGGCAAGTCAATTGTACACCTGAAAAAACACGGGAACAAGTCAAAATAAGCAATTGCATCGGACATCATTTTTTTTCAAACTGGAACGTCTGAATTGAAAATGTCCCCATTATGTCTACGATGAAAATTTTGAAAACTTTACTGAGGCTTTCTTTTTCCACTTTCTTTTTATCGAAATTATGTGACTGGCGCGTGCTACCGTTATGGCAGAAGTTTACATTTGGTTTTACCCCAAATAGAATCCGCGGATACACAGGGCTGATTATTCACTGGCATTGACGTACACCATACACCTGGAATATTGCTGAGTGTCGCGTAAAAACAGAAGAACATGTGAGTAAAACATGCTGTCAGTGGCAGAAGCTATGCTGGGATGATTAACAAAGCTAACTGAAGTCTAAGAAGAGCTTGTAACATAGGTAATGTCTTGAGGTCTCTGGAAGAATCATAAGCCCTTGTAATAATTTTTTTGAGAGCTACGTTTACATGTGAACCGAGTTGGGGGAATAGGGGAATTAAACGTATAACAGAAGGCATTAAAACTTTTAATGTCCATTGAGCTAGACTTCATGAGGGATTTATGGGAGGTTTAATACAGCTGCTGAATCTGAATAAATAGATTACAAACAAATTAAGTTGTGACAACAAGCTAATGTTATACGACAGCCTACAGAAAACATTATTCACAAGTCTGGCCAACGACTAAAAGTGCCAGGACTTACAAGAAATATATAGAATATTAATCTGGTCAGTATGTGTAAGTGAAAGATATACAGATATATCACATATGTTTACTGTGACACGCAACAACAAGCTGGTTGAGTCGCTGTTGCTCAATGTGTCACGTAAAGGACATAGGTCCCAGTCTGGCAGAATGGGGAGCCTGCCAAATACACCGACGGCAGAGGGTGTGAAAATGTAGACAGGCATACACACTTTCCATTACCAAGGGATGAACTACACCATTAATTATTGATAGAGATTAATCATCCTCCATATCTGTATAGCTTGCCATATTGCTGGGGGGAGAGGCATGTCGCTTACGTATTAATAATTTGTGTGTGATATTTGATTTGTTATCAGTGTGATGTTTCACAATATTATTTATATGAGGGCTGGTCAAAAAAGTTCTAAGCCTGACAAACTTTCAGCTATGGGCCATAACAAATTGAACTAGTCAATGAGTTCATTGCGTGTGTATTTGGTCTGTTGAGAGCGTTTGTATATTAGTGACAGCCTGTTGGACGTGATTGGGGTCCGAATCGACACATAGATAGAAAAGAACCAGTGCCGAGCAGTCATAAAGTTTTTTACTTCAAATAAATGTACTCCCCAAGAAATTCATGTCCGCATGTCACTAGTGTGTGGTGCCCCAGCTATTCCACTGTTAAACGTTGGGCAGCTATGTGTAAGGCTGGGAGAACAAGCCTTGATGATGACCCTAGATCTGAACGTCCCTTAACTTCCATTAATGAAGATTCAATCAAGGAGATGGAAAAACTTATACAGTCAGATAGGTGTATTGGCACTGCTGCACTTGGATTAATTGAAACTATTATTCATGAACATTTACAGATGAATCAGATATCTGCTCCTTGGGTGCCAACGATTTTAAATTCTGACCTCAAGGAAAAACAGCTGACATTGCCAGAGAAAATGTAGAGCTAATTGAGGAGGATTTGGTGAAATTCGAAAACAACTCTGCAACAACTGTGTAACAACTCTGCAACAACTGTGTAACAACTCTGCAACAACTGTGTAACAACTGTGCAACACCTCTCCGACAACTCTGCAAGCAATATGCTGAGTCCAGGACTTGCCAGGCTTGTTATCAGGTAGAATCAGTCAAAGTAATAGTATGGCGATGGAGGAACTTGTCCAACTATTGAAATACTGCTGTCATAGTTTGTATTCGTACCAGTGCTTTGCAAAAGGAAACTGCCCTTTAAGTCACCCCTATTAATCACTGAGAGATTCCTATCTATATCTAGATCCATAAACAAATTTGGGTTTCAACCCACTTAATGTTGATTATACAGAACTATTATTGTAATCAAAATGAAATTAAACCCCTTGATAGAAGTATTCTTCTGTTGTGTATGGATGCATCACCTGTATCATTTATCTGGGAATATAGGGAATATAGCACTGCCATGCATTATTCAGGCGTTAGAAACGGCGATGTTATTCCCTGGGGAGATCGTATTAGTGTTTGACTTTGTAGACACATTGGAGCCATTTGTCGAGCTGATCACAGAGTGTGATCTCTTTCTGTGGAGGTGGGAAACTACTGACGAGAGACCCAGGGGAGACCAGGGGAGACCGGGGGAGACCAGGGGAGACCGGGGGAGACCAGGGGAGACCAGGGGAGACACAGGGGAGACCAGGGGAGATGCAGGGGAGTCCGGGGGAGACCAGGGGAGGTCAGGGGAGACCGGGGGAGACCAGGGGAGATACAGGGGAGACCAGGGGAGACCCAGGGGAGGTCAGGGGAGACCGGGGGAGACCAGGGGAGACCGGGGGAGACCAGGGGAGACCAGGGGAGACCAGGGGAGACACAGGGGAGACCAGGGGGGACACAGGGGAGACCAGGGGAGATACAGGGGAGATACAGGGGAGACCGGGGGAGGTCAGGGGAGGTCAGGGGAGACCGGGGGAGACCAGGGGAGACACAGGGGAGACCAGGGGAGACACAGGGGAGACCAGGGGAGATACAGGGGAGACCGGGGGAGACCAGGGGAGGTCAGGGGAGACCGGGGGAGACCAGGGGAGATACAGGGGAGACCGGGGGAGACCAGGGGAGGTCAGGGGAGACCAGGGGAGGTCAGGGGAGACCGGGGGAGACCGGGGGAGACCAAGGGAGACACAGGGGAGACCAGGGGAGATACAGGGGAGACCGGGGGAGACCAGGGGAGGTCAGGGGAGACCAGGGGAGACCAGGGGAGGTCAGGGGAGACCGGGGGAGACCAGGGGAGACACAGGAGAGACCCAGGGGAGACCGGGGGAGACCGGGGGAGACCAGGGGAGATACAGGGGAGACCGGGGGAGACCAGGGGAGGTCAGGGGAGACCCAGGGGAGACCGGGGGAGACCCAGGGGAGGTCAGGGGAGACCGGGGGAGACCAGGGGAGACCCAGGGGAGGTCAGGGGAGACCGGGGGAGACCAGGGGAGACCAGGGGAGACCCAGGGGAGAACCAGTAACTATGCTGACATTAAGGACAGGAGTTGTGATCGTGCCGCGTGCATTTGATGGTAATGTAGTTACTCAGTGACGTGAACTATGATAATATTATAAACTATTGGTCCTACTGAACATATTGAATAGAATACGGGAATTGCATAGCAAGTGGTGAAATCCTATCACACAACTATGCAAAAGTTTCCAGTGTGTGACAAATCATCCTTCACATCGTGTTACATTTCACATCTTGAGATCCGGTAAATACGTCAACATCAGATACAAATATTTTGGACTTTTTTCAGAAAATGGATCTTTGTAACTTTTAGTTTACCCATAAATAATGTATGCAGGTTCAGTCAAAACTTCCCATTTACTTCAATGATAAGTCGCCTAATCAAATTATAAGACACATGAAAAATAAAATATATTGCTCGGTCAAGCCAATGTACCACCAACTCCCTGCCTCAAAGATTAACGAGAATCCTTAATACAATAAAGGAGGGACTCTCTTTATATTCACAGAAAGTATTTGACACTGGTGGAATTAATACTATGTGGATTTTTAAAAACTCAAAGGATTCGCTCGACTTTTTGTCAAAACGTTTAATTTTTCAACTTGGTATACCAGTATCCCACATGACAAACTTAAACCTTAAATCCATGGGACTTTTGTTGCAAAACGTGGTGACTATAGACATATTGACATATCAAGTCAATTTCTCAAACATGAAACCAAAACGCTCCCCTTCTTACTGATCTGTTTCTTTGTGCATATGAATCAGTATTTGTGTTCAGATTGGCAAAGTCAAAACAAGGCCAAGAAGTTTAACGTAAGCTTCAGCTATATCGATGATTTTATATCTTCAACCATCAAATAGCCAATTCCCTCTCACTGATTTACCCACCCGAACTCAAAACAAAGGAGACCATTGAGACCGCTTCATCTGTTTCATATTCAGATCTATGCATAAAGATTCAGAGTGACAAAACACTCGCCACAAGACTGTTTGACAAATGGGATGACTTCAACTTTCCAATAGTCCCTTTATGTCGAGAAGTATTTCTGCAGCTCCAGCCCGTGGTGTTTATATCTCGCATCATTTGAGGTACAATCGAGCATGCTATTTCTACGAAGATTTCAAACAGCAACTCTTGCTCAAAAGATGTTGGATCAAGGTTACAACATTCCTGCGGCAGTTCAAATTTCAAAAACTTCAGGGTTCACATGTAGAGGATGCTTCCAAATTTGATGCATCAGTGACATAAGGCATGTCCGATGAGATTCCCTATGTTGCCCTGTTTTTTTCAGGTGAACAATTGACTTGCCTTTGCATGTGTTTGTCACGGGTGCCACCGGTGGGGCAGAATACGCGCACCTTTTGGCAAACACCTGGTATCATCACTACTTGTGATTCATAAACACATGCTCATGATATAGTCGGAATTCTACAATCGACTATGTTTTTGGCAGAGATTTCTTATGAATATGGAAAGTATTTTTGTCGCTTTTATATATTATAATTTCCATTTCGTCTTTCATATTTTGACAACAATATTGTAAAACTTTTCTAATAGTATTGCATTAGCATGGTGATTACATTTACCTTCCAACAGAGGCTCTGTCAGTCTTCAACTGGATGGCAGGTCCCATCACCATAGCTGGCATTCATTGGGTTAAGTAGGTTGCAGAGGAGGTTTGGCGTGGGACGACTGGTCTTCAGCAACCAATGACGGTGGTCAGGTGACCTCGTTGATTGCGTGTCATCGTACCCGCATGGACCGTTGCTCATAATATCAATCAATGGCTTGTCTGGTCCAGATTCGATTATTTACAAACCGCCATCATACAGAATTAGGAAACAACAAACAGAGAGTAGGTTGCAGACACAGATGTTAAGTCGCCAACACACCAGTTACAAGGACCATGAAATCAGATAATAGTTTGAAGAAAGATGTGAGACAACCTCAGTACATTTTGTTTATTCATTTTCATATGTTCTTTCTTTTCTACTGCCTCGGGAACATTGGTGGCTCAGCCGTCTAATTCACTGCAATTTGCTCTACATGTTTGCATCCCGTAGGAGTTCGAATGATCTACCGAATCTAAGAATCAAACAATATTGTTTTCTGATTTACGGTGACACTGATACAAAAGTTAATACCCCTTACACGTTGATGTGTGCATATAGCTTTATGGTGATGTAACAATTCATGGAGGTTCTAGTGTGTTCACTCGTTAAGCACAGTTCGATTTCTCACATAAATCCCAATCGCCAGTGTAGATGGCTGACATGCGTGTTTCAACTTAATATCTGGTAGTTCGATACAAATAGGAAACATCTTGTGTACTTGCCATCGTGTGCCTCATTCCGGCCACTATACTCCATTACCTCCCACGTATGTAATGTTATCTACAAGCTGCCGTGGTTAACGTCATCCCCACCATCATCCCCCACCAAGATGATTGCGCCACGATGAAGATAAAGGTCTTTGTAACCCTCTCTATTTCCGTGCTGGGACCATTACACAGTTCTTACTTTAGAGTTGGATCAACTTTTACTGAGCAGGGTAAAGCAACAAGAAACATAATCCAACTGATATGTTCCAGACAAAAGTCACTCGGTGATTATAGATCAATGGAGGTCACCAATTGTAAGAAAACCGAGCAGACAGTAGCCTGCCAAAGACATTAACTTTTACATTTACAGAGATCCGCAATAAAAACATTTTGTCTTTATGTTTGGTACAAGGTCACGTGCCGACACTGTAATCAAAGCTAACCAAATCACACCCTGACATTTCTAGGCCTGTCTTAGTCAGTCATGGATCATCTCAGGAGGAAATTCTATAATCAAGGATTTGTTTTAGACGGAAACGACCGAGTGCAATAACTGCTAATGCCTCGTGTGATATAAAATGATAGCAGAGGATGATGGGCTAGATGTATAGTCCCCAGCAGCGGACCGGGGCAGTTTGAGGTCTCCACCCTCCCCTCATAGTACAGATTGTCTGGTAGGCCTCCAAAGAGAACGACCAATCCATACAAATGTTCCATTTCAGTCATATTCAGTTTGTTTTCAGTCATGAGAGAAAATATTCCCTTTATATTAGATTCAGATATTCTGATCTTTTTGCCTGCCGGTCTTCCAATTAATTGTTTTGTCCATTAAGGGGGGCAACACCATAAATTGGCTTCACACATTGTACCCTTGTGGGAATCGAACCCAGATCTTCGGCGTGACGGGCGAACGCTTTAACCACTGGGCTACCCCACCGCCATTGATGAAGATGATGGTGGGGACAGTGAGAGTTATGCCAGCGGTGGCGCTGTTGTCACTTTCTGTAGTCGGATGTCATCATACCCCGATTGTGTGGAGTGTAACTTGTGGTGTCAACTACTTGTCTGCCAGGCTCAACAAGCTGGTTATGTCTGGTTATGACAAACAGGCGCTCACACAGGGTCAAAATAAGTCTCAATGACCTTCCGTGTATACTCGATGTAAGACCTTACACTTGAGTGCTTACATTGTGTAACCAGGTTGATTTTGAATCTTCGTGCCTTAATTGTTGTGTGTCACTGTACCTGCACTTGCCTTTCGTACCCTTCATACTTTCAGTTATATATTTATCTATGCAGTTAGTTAGTTCTGAGCGCATAACTTTCCGTTCAACAGAATTTAATAATAGTGCTTTGCAAATGATCTTTTCCACTTTTCATTTTTGGGAAATGGAATCCAAAAATCAATTAATACAAAGGTCTTTCTTTTCTAGAGGCACTGCACATCAGTAGTTTATTTACATATTTATGACAAATGCACTATCACTAGTATATACACGTAATTTATATAACCAAATTATTAATGCGTTTGTTAATTAAGGAATCACTTATCGGTACATATTTAGAGTGGTCATATTAGTAGGACATTTACGGTCGACGTGGTGTAATCCTGAAGAGAGGCCATTGATGTGGTGATCTGTAATCACAGACCTTCAACAGGGGCAACAGCGAGCGCCCCGTCTAAGTAGAGAAGCATCACCCAGCATGTCCTTCCAGCATACTGAGAATGTCTCGTAAATGTTTCAGCCCAGCTTTACCTACATTGCTCCCATGCTGCGCGGATGAGGCGCTGTAGCGGGGAAATTAATTTAATTTTTTTCAATCATTTTACATTTATTTGATAAAATGTGACATTCCAGTACATAGTTGATTAAGGGTCATTAGAGGCCACTGGCAGCAAGGATGAAGGGTTCCAAATGGCCAGCTCCCTCGCATGACTAACTATCTGCAAAACAAACAGGACAAGGATGTCTTGATGATTATGTTGGGAATCAATGGATGGAAGGTATTGTTGTAATCGAGCATGAGAGGTTTTCTTCCTCACAATCCGTCTTATCGCCGGCTTCTTTCTGCACAGAAGATCCTTCTTCCAAATCGTGCCGACATTATGCACAAATAGTTTGACAATCTTGTCAAATTGATTTCATTCTGCTGTCGACTTGCTGCCCGAGTTGTCCCTACAAGTGTGTCATATTGTTTGTGCTCCACCAACCGCGGATGTTTACAAAGGGAAGCATCCCTGTCAGCACTGTCGGCATTAGCTAATATATCACATCACCTTAAGTGTCTATGTTTCAGGATTTAACAAAGGTTTAATCATTTATATTCCGTACTTTGGTGGTCATATTTGTGTCGTTTTTATCTTTAAAGAATTGTTCCGGTCAACTCTTGGGTTGATGGAGTTGACGCCAATTATCAAACAATGGTCTTGTTAAGTACACAAGTAAGTGAGTGAGTGGTTGTTTAAAGCAGTATTCCAGTGATGACGTGTCAGGGTTTGAAATACCTGGTCAAGGAAACACGAGATCGATAGCATGATCAACCAGCCGTCAGTGCACGATCACATAATCAGCCAGCTCACACATATTGACGACCTGATGTTCAGTTGTCACTGTGACGAACATCGGTCCCTGGGGACCTGCCTACTTTACACAAGACAAGCATGGGGCCCTGGGGACCTGC